GTTCCCGATTATACGTCGCTTGTTAAAAAAGTATATGGAAAAATAAAAATCAAGTTTAAGTCATTTTATTCGACTTTACGTCTGTCCGCCACAAATATTGAAGTCGTAATATCACTAGAAAAACGTTTAAAGCACATAAAATCATATTAAAATATATACAAGTATGTACTGTATTTACAGTACATGCATTTGTAAATTTAGATTACTTTTTTTCTGTACTATATTAAAAACTAAAATTTATGTATTTGTAAGCTTAAAATAGATTTTTATTAACCATATATTGTTAAAAATTCATTAATAAATAAAATACAGAACCGGAAATGGTAATTTACGGTTTAGCCTAGTGATAAGTAGATTCGGAGACAAGTAAATTCGACTTACGTCGTTTTTCGACTTATGTCGTTCTCCTGGAACCAATTAACGACGTAAGGCGAGGTATACCTGTAGTATATTGTATAGTTAAGTAGAAAATTAGTTTGCCATGATGACTTTATGCTTATTAACAACCATTAGACAATGTATAAAGAAAGTAAATTATTGATAAATGCCTTTTCTCAAATATTTTAAATATTTTGTTTATTCAAATCATTTTATATAGTTTTAAATGTATTTTATAGTACTTACATTTAAAAGGTTAGATGACTGAAGCAGTGTGTAAATACCAGCTTGCAGCTCTGGAACATCCAGGTTTGAGTCTGGATCAGTTTCAAAAAATTTTCCATGGATGGTTTTTCTCAGATGTATTAGGTCTCTCACCATCCTTTTAAGAGCTGGCTGAGTACACACTGAGCATGGAAAAAGTTATAAAATAAAAAGAAAAAGAATACATTTAAAATGCTTTTTTATTTTTAATTAAGTTTTAGTTTCTCTGTTGATATTAAATAAGCAATATTTTACAATACATATTTTAATCTAAATTAATAATTTAGTAAATGTGGACCAAGATTGTCATCAGATGCTGCAGAAAAATTGAAAAGTCGATATGTGTTAATGAGAAATGGTGCCCGTGAACATGAACAAACAATAAAAAAGAAATCAACCATTCCAATCACTATAAGGTAAATTTAATTGTTAATGAATTACATATTTAAACCTTTATGAGTAAATAAATATAAATTAGTTTAAACTTATTGAAAAAGACAATTGGAAGCCATCATTCGAATTGCTGAATCATTAGCAAAGATGCAACTCCAACCATTTGCAACAGAAGCTCACATTGATGAAGCTCTTCGCCTGTTTCAAGTTTCTACGCTGGATGCAGCGATGTCAGGAACACTTGCTGGTGCAGAAGGATTTACATCTGAAGAAGAACATCAAATGCTGGTATGCATTGAAAAACAGATAAAGAGAAGATTTGCCATTGGATGTCAGGTGTCAGAATTCAATATACTTCAAGATTTTTTAAAACAGGTAAAAAGTTATCATATAATAATGAATGTAAGGTATTTTAAATTAAATTTTAATATATCATTAAATTTTGTATTTGTTTTTTTAAAAAATTTCATTTCTTCCTTCAAATTGCCTTAAAATGAGAAATTTTTTAATTTAACAACTAAATCAAAATTTATATTTATAGTAGAATTAAAAAAAAATTTTTTTTACTATCTTTATAATATAAAAATATATCTAAAACTTGATAAGTGACATATATATAATATTTAATTATATATACAGGAGTATTTTAAATCTGAAAAGGACTCAATATGAATGATTCCTTTATTCAAGATTTATTAAATTGAACTGAACCAAAACTCAACTGCATTTAAGTGTCACTTGTCAAGTTTTAGATACGTTTTTATATTATATTATAAAAGATATTTCAAAAAATTTAAAAAAAAAGATTCTACTATAAATATAAATTTTGATTTAGTTGTTAAATTAAAAAATTTCTCATTTTAAGGCAATTTGAAGGAAGAAATGAAATTTTTTAAAAAAACAAATACAAAATTTAATGATATATTAAAATTTAATTTAAAATACCTTACATTCATTATTATATGATAACTTTTTACCTGTTTTAAAAAATCTTGAAGTATATTGAATTCTGACACCTGACATCCAATGGCAAATCTTCTCTTTATCTGTTTTTCAATGCATACCAGCATTTGATGTTCTTCTTCAGATGTAAATCCTTCTGCACCAGCAAGTGTTCCTGACATCGCTGCATCCAGCGTAGAAACTTGAAACAGGCGAAGAGCTTCATCAATGTGAGCTTCTGTTGCAAATGGTTGGAGTTGCATCTTTGCTAATGATTCAGCAATTCGAATGATGGCTTCCAATTGTCTTTTTCAATAAGTTTAAACTAATTTATATTTATTTACTCATAAAGGTTTAAATATGTAATTCATTAACAATTAAATTTACCTTATAGTGATTGGAATGGTTGATTTCTTTTTTATTGTTTGTTCATGTTCACGGGCACCATTTCTCATTAACACATATCGACTTTTCAATTTTTCTGCAGCATCTGATGACAATCTTGGTCCACATTTACTAAATTATTAATTTAGATTAAAATATGTATTGTAAAATATTGCTTATTTAATATCAACAGAGAAACTAAAACTTAATTAAAAATAAAAAAGCATTTTAAATGTATTCTTTTTCTTTTTATTTTATAACTTTTTCCATGCTCAGTGTGTACTCAGCCAGCTCTTAAAAGGATGGTGAGAGACCTAATACATCTGAGAAAAACCATCCATGGAAAATTTTTTGAAACTGATCCAGACTCAAACCTGGATGTTCCAGAGCTGCAAGCTGGTATTTACACACTGCTTCAGTCATCTAACCTTTTAAATGTAAGTACTATAAAATACATTTAAAACTATATAAAATGATTTGAATAAACAAAATATTTAAAATATTTGAGAAAAGGCATTTATCAATAATTTACTTTCTTTATACATTGTCTAATGGTTGTTAATAAGCATAAAGTCATCATGGCAAACTAATTTTCTACTTAACTATACAATATACTACAGGTATACCTCGCCTTACGTCGTTAATTGGTTCCAGGAGAACGACATAAGTCGAAAAACGACGTAAGTCGAATTTACTTGTCTCCGAATCTACTTATCACTAGGCTAAACCGTAAATTACCATTTCCGGTTCTGTATTTTATTTATTAATGAATTTTTAACAATATATGGTTAATAAAAATCTATTTTAAGCTTACAAATACATAAATTTTAGTTTTTAATATAGTACAGAAAAAAAGTAATCTAAATTTACAAATGCATGTACTGTAAATACAGTACATACTTGTATATATTTTAATATGATTTTATGTGCTTTAAACGTTTTTCTAGTGATATTACGACTTCAANGTCATAGAAATGATGTAATTTGAATATAAATTATTTATAAATACGTATGTCAAGTTATATTTTTATTACTACGTAAAATATATTTAAGAGTTTACGACCACTGTGCAGGGTGAGACATTGTTGAAACAAAAAAAGTTATGCATTCCATCATGTACATAAACAGTATCATAATTCGCCAAGTGCAAATCAGCAAATTCGTAAAAGTTTTGTTTATTTTGAACAATCTGGATAATCGAAAATCCGGATAATGGAGGTTCTACTGTATTTACAAGAATTCCATAAATTT